GCCTCACCAAGGCCTTATAAAGTGGTATCAACACTTCACGTGATCTTGATTCTCTCCCTCTGTTGATGCAGCCTAGAACTGTATTTGGCTTTAATCACTCCTCCTCCTCCCCCCTCTTCTCCTCATTTCTTCTCCTTCATCTATTCCCCTTCTCCGCTTTCTCCTTCTCTCATCTACCACTCCTCCTTCTTTCCCCTCTTCTCCTCTCCTTTTTCTCCTCCAGTCCTTCCTCCACCACCTCCTTCTCTTCTTCTTGAAACCCCATTCATAATAAGGTTCTTCTTCCCCTCCTCCCTCCTCCTTCCTTCCTTTTCGATGTGCTCCGCTCTCTCGCTGGGTAATTGGGACAAATGCTAAATATTGCATTCCCCATTAGCTTTCCACTGCTGCGTAGCCCCGGTGCCAGCAGGTGCTGTCAGCTTTCATGCAGAGTTAAAGGCCCGGCGCCTGCTGATTCCCCTTCCTGGGGAGGTCTTCTTGCGGGGGGGGGGAGACTGGCTCCCCCCCCCGCCAACCCTGGAGAGCCAGACTGCAGCCATGGACCGGTCTGTGCACCATAGATAATCCCTGCCCACTTTTGAGATGACATTCAGGATTCAAAGCTGCCCTTCTCTTCTCCGAAAGGATCTGCTCTGGGGCAGGGAGAGGGCCAACAGGTGCATCGATCAGGCTATGCATCCCTGGGGAACTTCTGCCTTCCCTGCAAATGCGTTGCCCGGCCCCAGGAAGCCCTTTGCTTCTCCCCAAATTTGCTTCAGCTCCCGGCTGTCCAGAAGCCCTCGGGCAAAGGAAACACATGGGCCGCTTCGTGGAGTGGCCAGGAATTAAGCTTAGCCCGCAGGAAATAGATTTGACTTTTAGCCTCAGCAGATGGCCGAGCTTGCCTGACCTTGCCTGGTGCACCTGCCCAACAGGTGAAGCTTCCGTTCTTTCCATCCCAGGGAGCAGCTTGACTTTTTGACCACATCCTGCAGATGCTGCTGACTCATTTCTTCTGCAAGTTGATACCAACCATTTTTCACCGTTGGAAGGAAAATAAACTCATCTAACCAACGCGGTGCCTTTTCAGTGCCGCACTGAAGTTTGTTTCCTTCCTCCTTTTTTCTCTTTCTTTTTCCTTCCTTCCTTCATTTTTCTTTCTTCTCTTTCTTTCTTCTTCCTTCCTTCCTTCCTTTCTTCTCTTTCCCCTCTCCTCTCTCAAACTTTAACCAGTCGGTTAGTGATACCAACCATTTTTCACTGTTGGAAGAAAAATAAACTCATCTAACCAACGTGGTGCCTTTTCAGTGCCGCACTGAAGTTTGTTTCCTTCCTCCTTTTTTCTTTCTTTTACCTTCCTTCATTCATTCATTTTTCTTTCTTCTCTTTCTTTCTTCTTCCCTTCCTTCCTTCGTTCCTTCCTTTCTTCTCTTTCCCCTCTCCTCTCTCAAACTTTAACCAGTCGGTTAGCCAAGTCTTGGAAGGGTGCAAAAAAAATAAAATTTACCCCTTTTTTCCCTCCCTCCCTCCCTTCTTTCCTCCTGACTCTTGTTATTCCTGCAGACCATTAGATTATGTTCCTACTTAAAATGCAAACCTTTTAATCTCTGCAGCGCAGTCTTAACCTTTGGATGGCATTATGGTCTTAAGAGGAAGGGAGAATTGCATCCGTTCTTTTTCTTCTGTTTCAGGGCCGCCGGTTGATTTGAGGGTAGTGATTTGATAGTGCTTATTATTATGGTCTGGATGGCAGTCCCCTACGCTTGGAGAATAGTTCTTTCATGAAGTGTTCCATAAATCAAACGAAGAAGCAGATAAAGAGCTGGAAACGATGAAGGATCAATGGGTGGACCGCATATCACCAAGTCTTTATTGACACTTAATGACCATGTGGATAGATCTTCTCCATCGTGGTCTGTCCCCAGTCTGGTTCTTTAGATCTTCTGCCATCATTATCTATGTAACTGAGTCCATCTACCTTGCTTCTCGTCCTCCTCTTCTCCTCTTTCCTTCCATCTTTCCCAGCATCAGCCTCTTCTCAAGAGACCTGGCTCTTCCCATATCTGAAGTTGGATAAGTTGAGCCTGGTCTTTTGAGCCTTGAGGGAGAACGTTGAGTTCATTTCTTTGTTGGTGAGATGTTCTGCTTTCTTGACTGTCCGTGGTCCTCTCGGGAGTCTTCTCCAAAGCCAACATTCAAAAGAGTCAACGTTCTTCTTCAAAGCCCAACTTACTTTTTGCACAGTTCCGATCTTTGGACATCACATAATCGGAATATCTGCTCAGATGCCTTGACTGAATCCTACCAAGGGCTAGTCTTGCAAACCTATTTCTTAACAGCTTCAAGGCACAAATAATTTGAATATACTAACCTAACCCTCCCCACCCTTTGCCCCAACCTCTGAAAAACCAGTGGAGCAATTTCAATTTTCATTTTGAGGAAAGACACACACACACACACACACACACACACACGGGGCTCTCAAAGGCTCCACCTCAAAGCTAAACCCTCTTCAACGCCTGGGAAGAGGGAGCGGGGTGGGTCTTAGAATAGAATGACAGAGTTGGAAGGGACCTTGGAGGTCTTCTAGTCCAACCCCCTTCTCAGGCAGGAAACCCTAGACGACTTCAAACAAATGGCACTCCAATCTCTTCTTCAAAGCCTCCCGTGTTGGAGCATTCACAACTTCTGGAGGCAATTTCTGTTCCATTGATTAATTGTTTTAACTGTCAGGAAATTTCTCCTTCAGTTCTAAGTTGCTTCTCTCCTTGATCAGTTTCCACCCATTGCTTCTTGTCCTGCCTTTAGGTCAGTGGTGAAATTCAAATGTTTTTTACTACCGTTTCTGTGGGCGTGGCTTGCTGGGCGTGGTGTGGAGGTGGGCGTGGCTTGCTGGGCGTGGCAGGGGAAGGATGCTGCAAAATCTCCATTCCCTCCCCACTCCTGCGGCCAGCCAGAGGTGGCATTTTCCGGTTCTCCGAACTACTCAAAATTTCCACCACTGCTTCTCCAGAACCTGTCAGAACCTGCTGGATTTCATCCCCGCTTTAGGTGCTTTGGAAATAGCCTGAGCCCCCTCCCTCCCTTTGCATCATCAACCCAAGCCCTAAAGCCATTAAGTGCTGACCACAGGGTTCGCTGACGTGGCTCGTGAATGGTAAGCAGGGGCCAAGCCCAGCCCAGCCCTGTATGCGTAAAATGCACCAAGTGGCTCGCTCCGTGAAGCCTGCAAATGCATTTGTAAATTACTATCCGTTCGGGAGGCACTAAAGATTTTGGCTTCGGGCCCCCTTAATGCAGGTTTATCCACCAGCTGGAGAGAAAGACCTCGTATTGATCTCCAAACAAACAGTCCTCTTGTTAATAGCCTGTTGAGCCAGTTCTGCTTAAATATCATCGTGTGGCAAGCCGGGAAGGCAGAGAGGTTACGAACTACGTCTTGAATGACGCAGGATTTCCTCTCCAAGCGCCGCTGAAGTGGGAACTTTTGCATGCTTGCATCTGTTCTCTTGTGCAAATCCCTCTGCGATAACCACAACCCAGGGAGGGAGTGGCCAGGTTTAAGCCCACTGGTTCAAAACAATAACAACAACAACAACAACGTCAAATTTGTTATCATTTTCATATGAATCTCTTTTTCTGCCTGCTTCATTCCTGTCCTGCCCCACTTTGCAAACGGAGCACTCGGTGTTCCTTGGGAATCAAACTTTCCAACCTTAAATTGCAAAAGCCTTAAAATGGAAATCAATCAAGAGCTGGAAGGGGACCTTGGAGGTCTTCTAGTCTGACCCCCTGCTCAAGCAGCCCCTGTACCATTCCAGACAAGTGGTTATGACACACTCTTCAAAAGCACCCACAACTTCTGAAGGAGAGCTGTTCCACTGGTTAATTAACAACACAACAGAATAGCAGAGTTGGAAGGGATCTTGGAGGTCTTCTAGTCTGACCCCCTGTCCAAGCAGGAGGACCTATACCATCTCAGACGAGTGACTGTCCAGTCTTTTCTTTAAAACCTCCAGTGATGGAACACCCACAACTTCTGGTAGCCAGCTGTTCCACTGGTTAATTGTTCTCACTGTTAGAAAGTTTCTCCTTCATTCCATGTTGCTTCTCTCCTTGATTAGTTTCCATCCATTGTTTCAGGACACCCTGCTAGGTTTAGTTCTGTTCTGGTCGTGACACAATTTATGAGGTTGAGTTTTAGGTTGGTTTTCGGGATATTGTTGAGCCAGGGAAACATCAGGCAAAGCAGTGAAGGAACTACGATTAGTCCTCGGCTTATGACCATAACCGGGCCCAGAAAATTTCCACTGCTAAGCAAGGCGGTAAATGAGTGAGTTGCACCCAATTTTACAACAAGGTTCTTAAGTGAATCACTGCAGCTGTTACGGTAGGTGAGTCATGCAGTCATTAAGCGAATTGCGTCGCTTTAAAAGAAAGTCAATTAAGAGGGATAGAAAGGTAAAGAAAACGAGGTACAGGAGAAACAAATAAAAAATGTGCATTTTCTTCTTCTTCTTCTCCTACATCCCGGTGAAGCCACCTAGTAGGTGGAATCAACACAAATACACAAGAACCTTCTTCAGATCCTGCACAGATAAATTGTGAAATTTTTCAACCGGCTCGTAGCCCCATTTTTAAAAATGCAAGGAGGAACATTCAATCATCCGTTGACCCCCTTCAGCCTGTGGAGAGATCTCTGCAAAGAGGTTAGCTGCTGCAAGATACGCCCACGATCCTCAATGGATAGGATCAGAGGAGGGATTCAACAGGTTCTGACCAGTTCCGGAGAACCGGTAGCGGAAATTTTGAGTGGTTCGGAGAACCGGCAAATGCCACCTCTGGCTGGCCACGCCCTCATCTATTCTCTGCCTCCTGAGTCCCAGCTGATCGGGAGGGAATGGGGATTTCGCAGTATCCTTCCCTTGCCACGCCCACCAAGCCACGGCCACCAAGCCACGCCCGCAGAACTGGTGGTTAAAAAAAATATTTGAATGTTGGTAGGATCCCAAGCACAGCCATTCTTCTCGGAGAGTTGAACGCTCCTGCCCCTCCCTTTATACTGCTGATAGAACCTGCTAGATCTCTTGGAACTAAGGAAGAATTTCCTGACAGTGAGGACAATTAATCAGTGGAACAATTTGCCTCCAGAAATTGTGAATGCCCCAAGTCTTTAAGAAGATGTTGAATAGGCATTTGTCTGAAATGGTATAGGGTTTCCTGCCTGAGAAGGGGGTTGGACTAGAAGACCTCCAAGGTCCCTTCCAACTCTGCTATTGTATTATTGTATTTATAACAGGGATTTCAAACTGGATTTCTTTAAGGGCTGGATCAGCATTTTAGTTCTCTTCTGTGGGCTGGGAGGGAAACGGGACAGACGCCTCCAGCAACACCCTGCAGACCAAAATGGGGTGCGGGCAGCCCCCATGTGAGCCCCCCCCCATGCCCCATGGACCTTCAAGATCCTTTCCAACTCTCTTTATTCTATTCTATTCTATTCT